CGCGATCGCCCGACATGGAGGAGAACAGTGAAGACGGGCGCTGCTATTTACGAAGCCAACCGCATCTCAGCCGCCAAAGTGAAACGCGAAGCCTGCAAATCACAACTTCGCCCAGTCCGCAACGCCGCCGCACAACCTCTCCCTACGTGTCCTCGATGCCACCGGACATTCCGGGCACGAATCGGACTTGTTGGACATCTTCGGATCAACTGCACCTCTCGAACTGCCCGAGCCATCGTCCACCCGCCCGCCTCTTCCTCGTCCTCTCTGCCGCCAACTAACTCTGGCACTCCTCCTTCACCACCACTTCCATCCTCCTCCTTCTCCTCCACTGCCCCAGCGGCGGCCGTTCAGACTGCCGTCTCACACATCCCCAACCCCAACACAACAGCCGACATCACCTCTCCCACCTCTCCCGATTCCAGTGATGAGGATCAGGATTACACCTGCCCTCACTGTGACCGCACCTTCACCTCACACATCGGCCTGGTGGGTCACTTGCGAATCCATCGCACAGAGACTGGCGAACCAGTGCCTGGAGCACCAACCTACACCCACCGCACTCGCCTCCACTGCCCACACTGCCTTCGCACCTTCACGCATCGCATGGGTCTATTCGGCCACATGCGCATCCACGACGACCTGCGGTAGACAACCGCCGGTCACACCACACATTCCCTCACTCTCTACCTCCTAACACCATCACCCCATCAGACATCAACCCCCACACACCTCATGCACTCAACTGCCGCCTCCCACGCAAGTGGGAAGCGTGCATCTCGACTTGGTCCCCATGCGGCTTTGGCTGCATGGGTGACTTGTGTTCGAGACTATCCCGACACGTCAAGCGTCGTGGATAGGAAGGTTGCTGATTGAGGCCCGCTCTCAGTTCACGCAGTTCGTCACGTTGTGTGTGTGTTGTGTGTAATGGCGGACTGGTGGGCTGGGGACGGGCTGAAGCAGCACCTTCCACGGCCCTCTCACGCAAGTGGGAGACACGCCGTTCTACCCCCGTTGTGTGAAATCCTGGTGTTTGTGTGTATGAGGGGCCAGGTCGTGCTGTGGCGCGCGCAGTTATGGTCAGTCGACCATGTCAGCCACCGCGCCCATTCCCCACTCCAGTCTACTGACCGGCTCGGACAGTGGCTGGGGTGTGGGAATGGGAAGGCAGAGTGAAGTCGACGACTCAGCGCATTTTCCTCACTATAATCAATCTGACGCGCTTGAAGCTATCACGGTGCGCTAAAAGCCGTGGCTTGGAAGGTTGCCAACTGACGGGGTACCTTGGACCTCCTCCTTAACGGGAGGCGGTCTGAGAGTCAGGCCGCAATGGCTCCTTTTTAATGTGGCCTTTATGGCATTCCCACCACAGCGTGGGATCCGAGCCAGGCGTTGGCGGCACGCCTAGGTGCGGCTTCGGCCGTGCCAGCCTCCAAATCTCTGTTGTGTTGGTTGAAATCCTGGTCTTGGTGTGTGGACCAGGGGTGCGGAGTGGAGCGCCAAGGCGAAGACCCGTCCGAGCCATCCACCTGCGGCCTCCCCCGTCTCCGGTCTTCTTGACTCTGTCTTGACACCGGGCCCAGGCGGGGGAGGAGGAGAGAGTGTAGGTAGATGCTACGCAAGTCTACTGGCACTATAAACCCCTGCGTAAGTCACCGTCCCTGCTCCCACAATGCAGTCTGTGGGGCACACGGTGGTCATCGTCGAAATCGACGGACGAACTGTCGTCGTGTGTGTGTGTGTGTGTCCTCCAAACGGGCCACGTGTTAGATGCGCTGGACCAACACGGGGGCCACATCGGACTCTGGCAGGCGTTATCTTTGCGTAATAACAAATGCCAACATTTGCGGGGTGCGCTGGCGGACCCTGTTGTCGGCATTCGTCGCACAACTGGACCACTGCCTCCACCCCATTGTTTTGTGGTCAAAATCATGGTCTTGGTGTGTGGACCAGGGGTGCGGAGTGGAGCGCCAAGGCGAAGACCCGTCCGAGCCATCCACCTGCGGCGTCCCCTGTCTCCGGTCTTCCTGACTCTGTCTTGACACCGGGCCCAGGCGGGGGAGGAGGAGAGAGTGTAGGTAGATGCTACGCAAGTCTACTGGCACTATAAACCCCTGCGTAAGTCACCGTCCCTGCTCCCACAATGCAGTCTGTGGGGCACACGGTGGTCATCGTCGAAATCGACGGCCTCGTCATGCAGTGGTGCGGACAACTGAGAATAAAATCACAAATAATTACCCGTCATCTTAGCGTATGCTCAAACGTTACAGAACTGTATACAGCCTTAAAGTTCGTCCAACTAACCATGACTAAACCATGTTTATTTATTGTGAAGATCAGTTAACACAGGTTCTGCATGACGTTCACTGTCTTTGGCAACCACCATAAGCGAATGAACAGCATCTCAAGTCTAATAGAGAAAGGGACGACGGGTCTCAAAAGCACAGTAAATATCATTCTGCCCACGACCTCCGGTCCTCGGCCAAAATGTACCCTGAGTGAGTGTTTGACTAGCTGCATATCGTCAAAGGCAGACCTGACGCCCGTTTTTCTTTGGATCGTAGTCTTTGTGTAGGGACTGGTACAGCATCAGGAATGATATTTTTAGAATAACAAATCACATTGCATCAAAATGGCTAGCGCATGTTGAGGGCCATATGCTTACCTAGAAGGCGAGAGAGTAATGCCAACCGTTCTGGTCTGATTTCTCTATCCGGTGATCGATTCTTGTGTATCGGCAAAAACACATCCTGGATGCCAACAGCAGCCAAACTATTAAGTCCCGAAGATATCGTGCTGCAAAGGGTAAAAGGTATGAACAGATAGCATTATGCTGGTCGCCTTACCCAAAGAAATAAAGAAAGGCGGAAATACGCGGTTTTGTCTAAATGGGAAGTCCTCGTTGTTGCTTTATGGAAATTCATTCCTTGAATTTGGATACTATGATGTTTTGCCATGTTATGTGGGGTTTTAAATGCCTTGCGGCCAAACTGACGATTACCCGTCTCAAATTCTTTTTATATATCTTATAGCGGGTGCTCCTCCTATAGACGTTAGGTTTACGCAGCAAAATTTAACCAGTCATTTCGTACAAAATAGGAATTACGTAGTAAATAATTCCTACATACAGTATAAAATCAAGCTCGTGAAACCTGGGGATCAAAACTAAAACGATCACTCCTAGACACCTCAAATGATATACAATTTTTATTCTCCTCGCGCTCTCCGGAAGATGTCATTTTTATTAGTAATTTAATCAATTAAAATGTTTATAAATTTGAGCGAAAGCCAACGGTACCTTGTGTTTGGATAGTTTCCCACGCTAATAGCTGTCCTGGGCTAATTTTGTCTTTTTCTATCAAAGGAGAGAAGTCAAAGCTCATGAGGTTTACCAAATGAAATTTGCTGCACTTGACACTCAAGCATATGACAAATGAAAGTGAAAGTTCAAGTTACAGGTGTATGTATAGTGAAGATGGATTATCGAGCGCTGGAACGTTTTGCTTATTGCTCTGAACACCGTTACGTAGACGACACGTTTGTTATCGTAAAGAAGGACATGCTACAAAATCTTCACAGCCTGCTCAACGCAGCCTTCTCTGATATGAAATTCTCGAGGGAAGAAGAACAGGAATAACAGTTGCTTTTCATGGATGTGCTCGTCAGACGGAATCTTAACGGTAAACTTGAAACGACGGTTTATAGGAAGACAACGAGCACCACGCAGTTTCTAATTTTTCACAGCAGACATCCGGTGACTTACAAACGAAGCTGTGTAAAGACGCTCTTTAACCGGAAGATGTCATTTATGCATGTAATATACGTCTAGAAATGATTTCATCAGTTAAAATTTCACAAATTTAGGCGAAATTTAACGCTACTTTGTGTTCAGGTAAGCCTCGGTGTTAATAGCTGTCCCGGGCTAAGTTCGCATATCTGTTTGTTTTTTCTATCAAAGGACAGTAGCCGAATGTCATGTGGTTTACCCAATGAAACTTGATGTACTTAATAGTCTATCACTTCTCCACGTAAACCAAAGTGAGCAAAGTGTAAACGCGAAGCTTATTTTTTGCCAATTTTTAAAAGTCATACTTACAAATCTGTATGCTTTCATGGCTTGAAACGCGCGAATGACTCCACATGTAATCCTTTGAGTAAGCATCTCGACATATCGTATCCTTTGCGAATACTCATTAACTTACCACGACAAACTCTTCGTCAAGTGGCTCTTTTACGTTTGAACACACGGTAACAGTTTTTTGGTGGTCTGATTTCCACAAACGCGTAATTTAGGAAAGGAACGGACAGGGGAGTAGCAGTTTTTGCAATATCTTTCCACCCACATGACCCACCCTGTTGTGCATTTATACTCGTAGAACGGAGTCTTATAGTAAGCATATTCAAGGAAAATGTCTACAATATAAAAGCAAAATTCAGTTCTTTCGTTTGCAGAAGAAAAATCATCACTTCATTTTAAGTAAGGGAAAAGTCAACTGGAGTTTCTAATTCTTATCAAAACTTTGCTCTAGAAAAAGGTAAACGACTCAGATGTCCTCAGCGAACTATCATAATAAGACGCCTAATAAAGAAGTTGTCTTTAAATTATCACACGATCTAGAGCATATTCATTGTGAAAGTTTATTTCAAATGATCATTTTTCTTGGTGATGACATTTCACATTTGGGTGATTTCGCAAATATGGGTAAGATGTGACTTGGTAGCCCCACCTGATGGACACAATACCGTTTTGGTTGGTGTTAAGGTTTGGGAATATGGATAGAGGGTTAGGGCTAAAGGTTCAAGTTAGTGGTTGAGGTTTGGATAAGGGGTTATAGTTAGGGGTTGGGGTTAGGCTTAGGGGTTAGCGTAACTATTTCTTAACCACCGAAAGTATAACCACGCACTGCCGATAGCTTTTCTTCTGCATACAACTACTTGACGTCGTCGCCTGTGCGTTCTTCGGCTCCACCTATAAAACTCCTATTTCCGCCGGTCCCGTATTAGAGGTGACTGGGTTTTTTTAGTTCAGGTGGAGCTACCAAACCACATCCTATCCGAATATGACCCAAACGACCATCTGCCTTAGAAAGAAAGCTCATTTTTCATTCGTTACTCCACTCATGCTATTTTATTTACTCCTCTGCTTTCATGAAAAGTTCTACTGTATGCCTGAATCTTAAGTTTAACCAGTTGCAACGATTGTGGATGTTTTGGAATTTTCTCTCTTTTGAACAGATTTTAATTATTAAACGAAATAATATTCCTCTTTACATTTCTTTTATGTTTTCAATTCAGCTAAGGTCATTCATCCAAAATTCGAACTTTTGGTCCACTCGTTTATGCCGGTTCGCTCATAACTAACGGTGTAAGTTCCCACACATTTCATGATCTAGTAAATTTACTCTAAATACATGTAACATCTTCCCTTTGTACCGCCTAAGCTTTTGAAATAAACAAGTGTGCAAGGCACCGTCATTAAACATTTGTTACTAGATAATTACAGTCTTCATTGCCGAATTCGAGCTTGGCTGTTAGCCTTTCGCGTGTGATTCATAGTCACTGCAAAGCTGGCCATTTTGCTGATTTTACGTTAAAAACAAAACTGTCAATACAGTATTATAGAGCTAACCTGAATGCTGCCGCGAAAATGACGGAGAGAAAGAGACCACGGAGGGCAGGAATGTTTGCGAGAATTCTCATGATGAAGAAGGAGAGGAGCATATCGTATCGGGCAAGTTGGCCACTCAGCCGCGGATCACATCCGCGAAAATAGACATAGACAATGAGGCCGACAGCCACGTGCAGAATGGTGAAGATGACGTAGATTGGTATGTTCAGTAGGATTGCTCTTTCAATTATAAATTAGATGACCATTTGAGTAAGAGGTGAGACGATTCGAACATGCATTCCAATAAACCTTTTTCTCATAACCGTGAAAATAAACATCATTATCTCTTTGTTGGCTTCCACCTCCTTTCAAGAATCTCCTGGCATTTTAACATGCCATTACTGACGCACTCTTAATTTTTTAATTGGACACTGCGGCTCATTCGAACATTTTGCTAGGATGCTCACGCCAAGATGGAAGAGGATAACCCCGAACTTGTGCTTTACTTAAAGAGAAATTTCATATTAAAAAGTAGACGGCAAAAATATGTCTTCTCTCCCGTACACCCAATGCGTCTAAAGAATAGCTGTGAAAATAATTCCTTCATATCCTCTTTTCTAGTTAAGTTTTGTCACATTTTATCTACCACCATTTGTCTAACATATAGCTTTGACTGGATAACTATCTGCTCCATAATCATCTGAGGACCAGTACAAAGTTAGTGAGAGTACGAGAATAGAAAATTTTACTTATTTGGCGTTTCGTATTTTTCTCCAAAACTGTCATCAGTCACAGGTACGACTGATTGGCATTCAGGCGCCGGACACTGAGAGTATGTATTTGTCATGCCACACACCTAGTATCTGGTGTGATGATTACTAACACGTTCGCATTCGAGTCCTTTTTTGACGCAAACTCCTCCTGATGCTTAGTATTGGCTCGACAATACTTGGTCATTCCAGAAATAGGAGATGCGTTCACCGGAACAATGGGTTTTTTTACCTGACACTTCGGATTCTCACTAGGACCCATTATCAGAGACAGCCGTAGATAAGAGTCATTCGGTCATTTGGCTTGCTGATACTGGAACTGACGGCACTCCCCCTCCTGGCCAACTGCTTCGCCTAATCAGAGTTGTGGGTGGAGGTCACTACACGAATGAACAGACTAATGTCTGAATAATCGTAACTAAAGCAGTTCGCAGCTCGCACGGTTGCCGCCTCAGGTGAGAATTTCGGCCACATCGAGCTTGAAGGTGCGGTCAGGTCCCGTCGGATGACCTGGCATCTTTCCGCTTTAATGCTGCTGCCTTTTCGGCCATCTGCGTTCGGATAGGTCTCCCAATTTCTCCGACGAGGTTTCTTTGTCCACATCTGCACGAGATCTGGTAGACGACTCCAAGCCTTTTCTGCTGTAGCAGCGAATCTTTTGGCCTCGTTAGTTGGTGCCTGGTGGATGACTCCGGTCTATGGCAAAGTACAATTCCAAGTGAAGTAAGAAGACGACTGATGGCTCCCGGCATATTCTTGACATATGATAGTGCTTGTCAAATTTTTTGGCTTACGTGACCTTGTCCCTCGTCTTGCTTGCGCATTCTCATTTTGAGAAAGTGCTTCAGACAGCCATTCGATTTGTCCCGCATCCTACGTATGGCAATTCCACAAACATGCACTTGTTGGAAATTCAGCACGTATAGCCATTTGCGCTAGAGAACTGGGACACTTTCTTGCAGGATAATTCTTTAAATCCTATGTTGCGTGCAAAGAATAAAAAATGCAAGCGAAGATAAATAGAAATAAATAAATGGGACAAAATTACTTCTTCGCGGTTTTTAGGCTCTTGCAAGACAGATATCGCTGAACCTGAGCCTGATTAGAGGCCTGGGGTGTCATGTAAGCTCCGATGGATCCAATTGTCAAACTCCAGAAGGTGTACCGAATGAAGGGATTGGCACTAAAGCTAAAAAGAAGCAAATTCACCGGTATACACGAAGTCGAGATGTCCGCATCATATTCTTTCTCATCTTCATCATAGTATTGCATTTGAAAATTAAGAAATTGTGAAATTTACAGCCAGAATACAGAATGACATAGCGTTAGATTTACGTAAGGTAAGTTGCCTCATTTAGGGTAAAATGATACCATACTAACAGCACAGGTACTAACTAAAAGCCCACACACGCGAGTTTTGCCGATATTCTGCCGATTCATGGCGTAGCTACGAGGAGTTCGGTTCGTCAGTGGGTACCCCGGCGTTTCCCGTCTGTTTTCTGGTAGATACTCCAATTTAGAAATTGGCGCTTTTTAACTTCCCAAGAAAGTAAATACGAACTTGAAGTAAATCATGTCAGTCATTGCCACCATAAACCTCACCGTCGTTGTTTTACTGATAAAAGCTCGTGATGGGAGTCGGGTTCTAAATTCTACTAGGATCCGCAACACTTCTGCAATGTTGAGGCAGATAAAACTTTAATGAAGTAGCCACACGATGGAAATGCCTGTTTATTGCCATCGGAAGGATTTTGCCGCATGCGTTGGCTACGCGCTAAACAATAAGCACCGATGTTTGAAAATTGTGAAGAAGTCGTTGAAACATCTTGGCACCGACCCAGGGAACTAGAGAGGTATTGTAGTTAATATGCAGACCTAGTGATCCAACAACAAACTTCCTTAAATTCGATTCACTGCAGTAGGCCAAAAAGAAGTTAAAGACTCGCAAGGCTGGACTGCTGAGGACCAATTCAACCACCACCACCACCACCAATTCGCAAATTCTACCGCAATGCCTGCAGTGATCGTGTCGGTCACCTTGGAAGCAACTGCGGCAAAAGTATCTGTTCAGTTGACGCCAACATCACCGACGCAATCGTGTTATCGGTTGTCAACATAATCGCAGCCCTACTTTACGTCTGACTCCTATCGCACACTCCAAAACTCACAGAAACACGGGCAAACTCAGCAAATAGAAGGAACTCCCGACAAAACCAACACTGTCAAGCTATTCCCATCGTGTCTGCATTTTACAGACAATACTGACCTAGTCAGTCATCTGTGAATAGGTTGTGGAATGGAAGGGGAACTTGTGCCAGGAGTCCCGGCTAACAGCGGTCAGACCTCCCTAGATTTTACGTATTCAAATGCCCTGTTGGACTGTAATATGAGGTATATGGCACTCCTCAAGGAACCAAATTTTGTGATGAAGTTGTATTTTGTCGATCACCAGGGCAAATCGTCAGTACTTTGAATAGCAAGCGATGCCGCCTACCCTTTGAACCATCGCCATTTGGCTATTACTGCTTTCTTACCTGTTCGTTATATATGCATATAGTTGGAATGATCGCTGGGACAAGAGATTTTTTAGCCTAACGTTTCGGATTCCTGCTCGAACCCATCATCAGAGGCAAAAGCAGATACGGGTGGTTCGTGCATAAGGAGCTGCGGTATTTATCGGATGCAGTAGCCATGCTACCGCATACCTATGAATATTCACAGCTCCCCCCTTCATCAGAGATCGTGGTTTGATGGCCGACATTCGCGTCATTAATTGCTGCAATTTCATCACTTGCGTTGGATGTTGGTGTGACGATTGCTCAACTATCTGAAGAGCTGAGCCTGGTGTTGGAAAAAGTATTCACCTGTGCGCTCCCCGCGTGGCCAATTACTCCGCCTAGGTGAGGTCTCAGCACCGAGTACGAAAGGGGAAGATCATTGCACGTGTTACTGGACTGGGGACCAGTAAACCATGACTCAAGCAGCCCCCGGCTCATGCGGTTGTCACCTCTTGCGAGGCAGTATTGCGTAAAATTTCGACGCTAGCTCCCCAGGTCGCACTCAGACCCAAACGGAGAGCAAATCTGAGAGCAAGAAACAGTTAACGTCACGAGTGCACATAAAATCGATACTTGCTTGGCGTGTGCGCCGGTAGGCGGCGGCCGTTTGTTAATTTGATCTGGTTGGCTCTTTTCTCTTCCATTTCTCTTCAGGTTTCAGTATACGACATCCAACTCGATATGCCGGCTGATGCATGATTCATTCTCGAGGACTCCTGGGCCTTTCTTGGAAGGGCAGTCAGCAACAATGCCAGCTTCGTTCCAAGCGAAGGTGTACTTGGCTACTTGGGACAGATAGTCTCACCTCTTTACTGCAAACTGGTGTCCATAAATGCGTGTCGAAGCGGGTTTTCCAGTCTGGTCACAATATACTGTAGATGTGCTAACTCATGAAATGTCAACCGAAATTTCGAAATGCGTTCTCGTTTCGAAAAGATAAATTAAGCAGTGTTGTAAAACTAATCATGATGCAGCATAAATCTATAATGATCTAGTTATCTCAGGCTGTCGGCTTTTGAAAAAAACAGATTTTTGGCTGCATGCAAGATCTATACTCTGCAAGAAATGACTACTTATATAGCATGCAATTTTCTTATTGGTTTTCGATGCCCTTGAAAATCCAACTATATTTCATGGAAAGCATGCATAATAATGTTCATTCTTTTACTCATTCGGTAGAGAATCACGACTTCTTCCAATCTCATACTCAAAAGAAGAGTATAGTTCGGTTTTAGCAAAGTTTCTAATTGTAGGATTTTTTAATAACGTTAAATGGCCGTTCATGAAACGTCATGTATCTGCATTTACGAATGTGGCTTGTAAAGTTAACAATATTATTCAAATCCACTGCTTAATTTTATGAACTCCATATGGTCTCCTCTTAACACCGTAGAGAAATGCATGGTTTTCCGTACACGGAGAATATACAGCTTGTAGTTTTGAAACCCTGAATGCAAGTGTAACAGCAGGTCGGGTTCAAAATTATGCGGGAATTAGAAAAGTTTTTTAAAACCGAATTATACTCTTCTTTTGATTATGAAAATGGAAGAAGACGTGATTCTCTATCGAAAAGGTAAACGAATGAATATTTGTATACATGTTTTCCATGAAATATAATTAAATTTTCAAGGGCATCGAAAATCAATGTGAAAATTGCATGCTATTTAAGTAGTCATTTTTTGTAGAGCATAGATCTTGCATGCAGCCGAAAATAAGTTCGTTCGAAGGCCGACACCCTGGGAAAACTGGATCATTATAGATTTATGCTGCATCATGATTAGTTTTACAACAATACTAAATTTATCTTTTCGAAACGAGAACGCATTTCGCAATTTCGGTTGACATTTAATGATTTAGCACATCTACTGTACGCCAGAATATGCATCACACACGATCTTGTAGACGAGCTCTTTCTTGTTCAGCTGGCTAGCTGTACCCTTAGGATGTACCTGATGAGAGCCCAAAGTAGTCGTAAGTTTATTCGCCGCTCGAATTTGGTGCTTCTGTACGTGTCTTTTGAAGAGTTCAGACACATTCTTAATGTAAGGAAGAGTTCGCCAAGTGCCTAATTGTGCCCAGACTGGAAAATCCGCCTCAGCACACCTTTATGAGCATTAGTTGGCAGTAAAAAGGCAAGGCCATTTGTCCCAAGTAGTTAAGCACACCTTCGTTTGGGGCAAAGCCCGCAACGCCGCTCACTGTCCTTTCAAGAAAGGCCGAGAATTCCTCGAGGCAATGCACTCGAATGAATTATGAATCTACCGGCGCCCGCGAGAAAATCCCTTCGGTGGCACTCAGCAGACATTTCAATTGTGTGGCTACTGCAGAAATGTTGCGGATCCTAGTAGAATTTAGAAACCGGGTGCCATCACGAGCTTTATTTATCATAAAAACGACGGTGAGGTTTATAGTGGCTATGGCAGGCAGGAGGCAACTCAGGACGTACCAAATATGGATAAAAGCTATGGGAGTTTGAAAAACTCCCGCTGGTCAAATTTTCCCCTGCACTTCGAATGAGACTCTTAAGTATTTTATGCGTTTAATGAGGCACTTAAAACCGAAAACGTTAATTTATATAAGTAAGCAGTAATAAACCTACTTTTCACACTTCTACCGTGGTAGAATGGATTGATTAGTAATTGAAAAATTAACGTTTGTACCTGATTTGATCAATCTTTCCATCCATCAAGGCCGTTTGCCAAAGTGTAACGGGACCACCCACTGAAACTAGCCCCACAACGAGTATCGTGATCATGCCAATCAGCATAATGGTCAGTTGAATTACATCCGTCCAAACAACTCCCTTTAGGCCACCCTAGGCACAAAAATAGATCAGACTTTAAAGAATATATGGACACTTATCATAAAAAAATAATTTTTGTATTAACTAAAAAGAAGCAGTCTTATCTCTTTAATTTTAGGATGTATCCTTGATCCCCACAATCGACTAGATAGGCCATCACGCAGAAGATCCCATTGTTCCTACCACCGCGTGTAGCTGTTAAAAGCGGAGAAGACTTGCGCTGCCTCTATTTCGCCTACCAATTAAAGGTCACACAGCTTAAGTGACAGGGTACAGTCATGTAGACGAAGAATGTTCTTTGGTTCAGGGGGACTAACGGCGAAAGGTCGAACTACGCATGTAGCATTGGACTTAGCTCCAAATGCCTACACAAATCCGACTTCGAAAAGGTGAGTGTACACAACCGACACAAACAGGAGCAAAATTCAAATCATATTGGGGTGACATCGTTACAGACCGATCTTTTTTAAGAATAACATAATATTTCTTCAACCAATCCGAAAAATTCTATTGCTTCGGAACAGGCTTCTAAGGCACTATTGGAACGAACTTCTACGTTCGAGTCTTGCTTTAAATCAATATTTAGATTCCAAGTGAGGAATTATCTTACACAGGAAAATGGCATAAAATATTAGATGGTGTGAATGCATTTGGTAAACTTTACCACAGAGAGATTGTATTTACCCATATTGTAGGTGGACTAACTCATAAAATGTCAACAAAACTTTCGAAATGCGTTCTTGTTCCGAAAAAATTTATTAAGTATGGTTGTAGAAATAATCATCGTCCAACATAATTCTATAATAATCCAGTTACCTCGGGGTGTCTTCTTCCGAAGGAACCTATTTCCGGCCGCACGAAAGATCTTTATTCTGCAAAAAAGGACTACATATTTGGCATGCAGTTTTCTTATTGATTTTCGATGCCCTTGAAAGTTCAATTATATTTCAATTAAAAAACATGCACAACAGTATTCGTTCTTTTATTTATTCGGTAGAAAATTACGTCTTCTTGCAATCTTATACGCGAAGAATGGGTATAATTCGGTTTTGAAAAAGTTTCTAATTGTGAGAGTTTCTAATATCGTGAAATGGCTGTTCACAAAACGTCATGTATCTGCATTTACCAATGTGGCTTGTAAAGTTAACAGTATTGTTTAAATCCACGGCTTAAATGTTATAACCCCATATGGTCTACTCTTAATACCGTAGAGAAGTGTATGGTATTCCGTACACGGAAAATATACGGCTTGTAATTTTGAAACCCTGAATGGAAGTATAACAGGAGGTCCGTTTCAGAATTATTTTAGAAATGAAGAAGTTTTTCAGACCGAATTATACTTTTCCTTCAAATAAAAATTGCAAGAAGACGTAATTTTATATCGAAGAAATAAAGAATGAATATTTTTATGCATGTTTAATGAACTTAAGTTGAATTTCTAGGGGCATCGAAAATCATTGGGAAAAGTGAATGCTACATAAGTAGTCATTTTTAGCAGAGTGTATTTCTTGAATGCAGTCGGCCATAAGTTCATTTGAAAGAAGGCATCCTGATGTAACTGGATCATTATAGAATTATGCAGCATGATGATTGGTTGTACAACCATACGTGATAAATTTTTTCGAAACGACAACGCATTTCTAAATTTCGATTGACATTTAATGAGTTAGCCCACCTACTGTAAATGCAGTAATTAATAACTTTTTTGGGGATTTTCCTAGGTCAGGAACAATATAAGGCCACCTCAAGACACCATGCGATTACTTTTCTTTGTCCTGACTGAGTACCCAGCAACGTTCGAAATTCTTGTTGACTTAACGGGGACACATTTTTGCGATTTTCAATTAGGATGAACATTTTAACTGCACGCACGTATATCTGTGAACTAGTTTGCATAAAGCAACAAAAGTCTGTACCGTTCCTAAAAGTGACTTTAAAATAATCGAAATGTGTCTACAATCTAGCCATGTACAGTGGGTGACCGATCCCATGAAATGTTGGCTGAAATTCTGAAATGCTTTTACGATTAGAAAGGATTAGTTGGTCGCGGATGTAATACTGATTATCTTGCGGCGTAATCTTATAACATTTCGGACTCAGCAGGATGTCTGCTTTCGAATACACTGCTTTTCAATCTCCTGTAGAAACCGTACTCGGTAAAATATGACTGCTTAAATAACATGCACTTTGCCCATTGCTTTTTGATGGTCTTATAAAAGCCCATAAAAATATGCTTTCCTTCGGTCTGTTAATAGAGAATCACACTGTTTATATTTTATATTCAAGGAAAAAGTATAATTAGGTTTTAAAAAGTTTTCTAATTGCTGAATAACTTGGAGCCTGATCATTCGTTGCACAAGCGCTTAGTGATTTCAGTCTATAAGATGCATGCGTTCATGCGCGATCTTAAAAATTCACATAATAATAAACTATTTTAAAACCTTATTCTAATCCTTTCTTGAATATAAAATATAAAGAAGACGTAATTCTCCATTAATTGACCAAAAGGCAGCATATTTTGTTTATGGTTTCTATAGGTTATATTTGAATTTGCAAGACCATCGAAAATTATTGGGAAACTTCATGCTTTTTAGGTGCCATTTTTTACCGATTGCGCTTTTTAGGAGAGTGAAAGCAGTATATCCAAAAGCTGACATCCTGCCGAGTCCGAGATGCTATAAGATTATGCCACAAGGTAATCAATATTACAACCGCGACCAAGTAATCCTTTCTAATCGTAAACTCATTTCAGAATTTCAGGCAACATTTCATGTGATCGGTCACTCACTGTAAGTACGTTCATGTTTGCGCAGTACTAAGGGTGCGCCTTGACAAAGCCTGGCGCACAGCTGTACAGGGCATGCTCTATTGCGTCTTTTAATAGGAAATTGTCTAAGGGACGTGCAGCAAAAGCGATTTACCGAAGCGATTCGATCGAAGTAGATTGGTATACTATAAGTAACTTACCATTGCGGTATAGAATGTGGTCAAGGCACCAGTCCCAAGAATTGTTAACAGAAGATTCGCATTCGTCACTGAGGATTAAGATGCAGTCTCAGAAGAGTACAAAGGATGACTATGAAGGAAAAGCTTAATACGTAAGCGGACGCTGTCTTCTGTGTTATGACACTAGTTTCTATACATAGAAAAAGGTGCTGTTTCAGAAGTAGATTTTTGTCCATCGTGTTTTCGCTCCTTCCGTGAGGCGTTCAGGGAGTGCGATCACCTGATGTATGCATAAAAATTCGCAAAGCCCATAAACGTTTTGGCGAATTGGCCAGTAACTAAACTTTTGAGTACTCTAGCGTTCCTGTGAGCTTTTGACACTGTAGCATTTATCTTAATCTGCAAGCATCTGATCGTACATTGGAAAGGTAATAAGGAATTCAGCATAATGTCAATCTGGCTTTGAGAACACCCAGCATTAGAGCAATCTCTGCTGTTGTGCATTAACTTCGAAGACGGGACACCGCACATGGTACAGTTTAATCCTAGTTATAGTTGGATCAGTCAGTAGAAAAGTTCTCAAATATAATCGGTTCTACCTCGAACAGACTGCAGTTATTACTGAAAGTACGTACTATGTACTGAACGCATTCAAATTTACTGCATCCTGTGAAACGTAGAGGCGACATGACCGGCTGGCAAACGACGTCCTCTGAGGGTATATTTTCTTCCCTTCGAACTACGAATGTAATCGGTAACATAGTCCATGTTTGGCAAACTGTGATGAAGGAGACGCGATCGTGTCTCTTTCTTCACGACTGAATCCTGGGACTCATCTCCTCGTTTACATTGTCAAACGTACATACTAGCGTCGGTTTTAAAGTTAAGGAATTTTTAAGATTTAAATATACAGAAAAAACGATGGAACGTACTTGCACTCAGGGCGACTGCGGGAGCAAATAAACTTGTTCCCACGTAAAATGTCTAGTGAATAGAAATAAACAGGAACACTGAGAATATACAACAATTCAAAAAGGAACTCTGTCCCGTGTTTGGGTCGTTTAAGTGCTCAACAAAAACATAAGTTTCTAAGTAGATACGAAATTTGATAAGTGTCCCACCCTAAGCATCTTCCTCATGTAACAGGACGAGATTTTGGCATTCGAGACTGCAGTTGTAAAAGCGGCCCTGAACCCTTATTATTAATATAATCATATGAGACAGCGTATTCGCCAAGGAACATTTAAAAATACGCCTACTTGTAACTAGCACCAACTTAATCATTCCTAGTTTTAAATTTCAAAAATACTATGCTTTGATCAATGGGAATTTGTTTCGAATCAGCAGCAAAATGAACTGCGAAATGCGTTTTGACTCACCATTTCAAACATAAAAGTGATCGTCGCCAAGACCTTAACAATTACACCGAAACGCATTTCGAAATACTACAATGAGATGGTGAAAAGCGCAAAATTGCTGGAAACCTGGTTGATGCTCAGTATATTCAGTTTGTAAAGCACAGGCATGTAGAACTCAGACACCAAAGGAAACAGCACCAAATAGCACAGAACGTTTGCCATGAGTTGGAAGCCGTAAAGGTACACTTCTAAATTAGTACCCATCAGGCTTACAGCCGAGAGAAAGCTGACTGCCGTACTGGCCATAATTGGCAGGACGCCCAACTGACGATTGGCCAGAAAAATTTCCTGTGCAGTCTGTGGCCTCACTTCCTTGATCGGCCGTCCCATGCATCGATTAAAGATATTATTAATCTGCGTGGGCCATCGGAAGTACAGACCGACTAGGGCGTAGGCGAATAGAGAAAGCGCCAAGATGAAGTAATCAGACCAGTGAAGCTCCTCTGTCATATTGAAGTGCGGAGCCAAGAGGCTCACATGCCGTTACAGCTTGTCATTTATACGCGAACTGGGGTCTTTCTCATTGGGTGAGGTGATGAAGTATTTAGTGTTGGCTGAATAAGTGCCTTTCTTCACGATCATGAGACAAGGTTTTTTTTATTTACAAATGCGCCCCATTGTTACTCAAAAGCGCTACAGTCGTCATCACGCTAGTCAGATGTTTTCAACTGCTATGCTTTTTAGCAATTTCGTGGAGAGGTCCAATACAAAAGTAGTCCCTTACAGCACACACTTGACAATCAGTACGCCCGGATGCGGTACGACGTAGAACCTAGTATGTAAATTATTCGCTGTCTTGTAAGGATGCCTTAAATAATTCCGCAATTAAACGTTACGTTTTTGTTGACTCGAATCCATCATCCGCTTAACTACAATCGTTCTGATGACGAAAACCGTGTAGTTATAAAGATCGGGCCTTCGCTAAAGGTAGCTTGTATTTCAATCGCAAGCTCTACAGATGATGCAAATTTTGAAGGCTTCAAGGTTTGATAACATTTATACAGCGTCCGGCGTCTGTCGAGGTAAATGGATTTATCATAAATTCTAGTCAAATAGGAGAAGCGAAACCGATTTATATAAAGCAGGCCTCTGCAACATTGTTCAATAATTTGACGCACAAATCGTCCTGGCCTCCATGGAAAGTTGAATTCCTCGCGGAGAACATAAGCTACTAGGTTGAAAGCGTCATGTTTTTAGAAAATAAAATTGCATACCCTCGTATGCGTGGGTGCACGAGAAACCCAAGAATTCATAGGAAATACTAAAAACAATGGACGCATCTGGGTGGTATGATGAAGATGTTATAGTCTTGTTTTTTCACAGTGAGAAGAAAAATCAGAAAACATGGTAGATTTCATACGAGCCCGTGGCGCTCGAAAATTCCCAGAAAACCCCGTAAGCTAATATTACCTGTTAATATCATCAACCAAATATACTGTGAGAAATAGTAGGCTTGCAAATACACCTTATCTTACTAGCAGGTCAAGCCTTTTCCTAAAACAAAGATTATTTCGATAGAAGGTACTAGGCAGACGCCATAAAACAGTGAACCATTGTGCATATGAAATCTTAAAAATTAAAAGCCTCAATCATGTGCGTCAGTATTGCATCCCAGTAGCGTTCCAGCGATCCAAACGCATTAGCATTGAAGAGACAAATATCACTTCGTCATTTGCTTCATGGTCCCACGAAGTGCAAAAAAATTATTTCTACAGTCGAGCCCTAAACAGATTAGTTCATAGAAGTTTAATCGAGTTTTAGAAGATTTCCTTATAAATATTTAGTACCGATGATTGGCTGACATCCAAAATCCGTTGCACGGTCCACTACAAGTTCCCGGACACTATTTGGTGAGTTTACGAAGCCAATTTCACATCTACACGAAAAGAAGTCGCGTACAATATGTGCGATAGGAAAAAGCTATTTCTGCTGATCGAGAAACAGTTTCCCGGCTCAAAAATAGCGTTGATGATATGTGTTCTCGTAGAGCACCGGTCACTTGGTTGACGACTCAATTTATTCTATAGTCTTGACAGTAGATCAACTTCTTCGATGTCCCACTGTAAACGGGAAAGGAAGTTAAAATTCAATTTCCTGATTATATTAGGTGGCCTAATTAATTCATGCCGTTTTTCGTCAAGTTTTGACAGGTGCTGCAATCATGTAGTCAAAAAGGGAAGCACACATTTGAAGAAGAAGAAGTTTGGCTCACCGGAACAGGTTTATAAGGATGCTGACGTTTCGAAGAGCTTGGTCGGCTCTCCATTGTCAAAGCGTAAAATGCACTCAATCCCAAGTGGTGTGTCACATTGGACGGCCTCGTGCTGGTCGATTTTTTTTCTCTCTTCTCGCTGCCGCGGCCTATCAGGGGAGGGTTGACTGATGTTTTGTCTGCATGCATTGTGAGTCATCACTCGGCTGGGGGGAAGTGACTGAACCAGTGTCGGGTGGTCGGTCTGGCGGTTCTTTTTCTTCTTCACCGAGTAAACTTGCCGTTGGGCTGTCTCCGTATGGCTTCCTTAAGCCTGGTGTGGTTGTTTGGTCCTGAGCTCTACGATTGGGATGACGTAAGACTTTGTAGGCTGCAGGAAGGTCCAGATGCCTGTTTATGGAGTGGGCATCGGAGAACCACGCCTCAAGAATTAGCCGTTCTGCTTTTGTGCTGCCCCAGCCTAAGATGGTAGCTCGCTGGAGATCGAAAGTATGCCCAGTTTCTCCAACGTGTGTTGCTAATTGAGAGTTTGGGTCTAACGTCCGAGTAGCTGATATGTGCTCTTGTAGGCGAACCTGCAATTTCCGCCCGGTTTCTCCCACATAATTGCAGTCGCCCTCTTTGCAATTTATTTTGTAGATAACTGCAGAGGTTTCGGTGGGTGACAAGGGGTCCTTAGGTTGCATCAGGCGGCGTCGAATTGTTGCCTGTGGTCGGTGAGCTATGCCTACTCTGGCCGTGACACGCCACTTTGGATCTCTGGTGGATTGAGTGCATTTTACGCTTTGACAATGCAGAGCCGACCAAGCTCTTCGAAACGTCAGCATCCTAATAAACCTGTTCCGGTGAGCCCACCTTCTTCAAATTATCAACCCCGATCTCTCAACTTGGCCAATCTGACCGGAAGCACACCTATTGTAAACTGTTTCATCAAACTTGTCATATTAAGTTTATGACATTTGGATGAGGCGTTACTATTACTACTTCCTATTGTAGGCAAGAAGGAAACGTTTATAGCAAAAGGCATCGCTGTTCTGTTTTTATGGGAAATACAGTACAGTGAGTGACCGATGTCATGAAATGTTGGCGGAAATTCTGAACTGCGTTTTAGATTTGGGAAGGATTACTTAGGCGCGGCTGTAATACGGACTATATTGCGACATACTCCTATCATATTTTGGACTCAGCAGGACGTGGGCTTTTGAATGGATTGTTTCTTAATCTTCTTTTTAGACCAACTCGGGAGAAATGATTTTTTAAGTAGTATGCATTGTTCCCATTGATTTTTGATGGCCTTACAAATTCAAATATATTTTATAGAAACCACGAACAAAAATGTGCTTTCTTTCAGTCGTTTTATGGCGAATGGGATCATCTTTATACTGTATACTCAAAGAAGAAGTATAATTAAGTTTGAAAAAAGTTTCTTATTATGAGAATCTTTAAGACCGTGCAATGACCACTCTTAAAGCATCGTAGCTGTCTTTTTACCACTGTTACAAAATTTTATAAACAATATATGCTACAGTGAGTGACCTATCTCATGAAATATTGACTGAAATTCTGAAAAGTGTTTTCGATTAGAAAGGATTACTTAGGCGCAGTTGTAATACTAATTATCTTGCGGCATAATCGTATAATATTTCGAACTCGGCAGGATCTTGGCTCTTAAACACACTGCTTTTTAATCTCCTGCGAAAAACGTGCTCGGTTAAAAGTGACTACTTAAGAAGCATGCATTTTTCTTATTGATTTTCGATGGCCTTGGGAATTCAAATATATCTTATAGAAACCATAAACAAAACTACGCTGTCTGTAAGTCAATTAATAGACAATCACGTCTTCTTTATACTTTTTATTCAAGGAAGGAGCATAAGTACGTTTTAAAGAAGTTTCTAATTATGAGATTTTTTAAAACCGCGCAATGTCCATTCACATAGCATCGTACCTGGCCGTTTATGACAGCTCCTCGTGAAACGTACAACATAGTCCGGATCTATTGCAAAATTTTATAAACTCTATAGGTATCTTCCTAAACCCTTAGAGGAATATGTGATTTTCCTTAAGTAGAAAGCATGCACCTTATAAACTGGAATAGCTGAACGATAATGCAATGGCAGATCTGGCTCAAAATTATTCGGAAATTGGAAAACGTTTTAAAAACCTAATTATACTACTTCCTTGAATAAAAAGTATAAAGAAGACGTGATTGTCTATTAACTGACTGACAGAAAGCGTATTTTGTTTATGGTTTCTATAAGATATATTTGAATTTCCAAGGCCATCGAAAATCAATAAGAAAAATGCATGCTTCTTAAGTAGTCATTCTTAACCGAGCGCGTTTTTTGCAGGAGATTAAGAAGCAGTGTGTTTAAAAGCCGAGATCCTGCCGAGTTCGAAATACTATACGATTATGCCGCAAGATAATTAGTGTTACAACCGCGCCTAAGTAATCCTTTCTTATCGAAAACACGTTTCGGAATTTCAGTCAACATTTCATGAGATAGGTCACTCACTGTATATTTTTAAAGGCATAAAAAATACGTGATTTTCTTTACGCAAAATGCATGCAACTGGTATACTGTAATCAGTAAGCGCTAATGCAACGACTGATCAGGCTCCAATTTATTCGAGAATTGGAGGACATTTTTAAAACCTTATTATAGTCCTTCTTCAAGTATAAAGCTGATTGATTTCTCTTTTAAACGACTGAAAGAAAGCAAATTTTTGTTCGTGGTTTCTATAAAATATATTTTAATTTGTAAGGCCATCGAAAATCAATGGGAACAATGCATGCTACTTAAAAAATCATTTCTCCCGAGTTGGTCTAAAAAGAAGATTAAGAAACAATCCATTCAAAAGCCCACGTCCTGCTGAGTCCAAAATATGATAGGAGTATGTCGCAATATAGTCCGTATTACAGCCGCGCCTAAGTAATCCTTCCCAAATCTAAAACGCAGTTCAGAATTTCCGCCAACATTTCATAGGATCGGTCACTCTCTTTAGGTGAGCCAACTCATGAAATGTCGACCGAAATTCTGATATAAGTTTTCGTTTCGAAGATTAGTAAACTAAAGTTGCAAAATTAATCTTCCAGCAGCATAATTCTATAACGATT